TCATTAGCCGAACATGGTTTCAGTCTTGGGAGAAATTCATTAGTCAACCTTGTACCGGTATGTTCTGTTGTTTTGTGGTATTGTGATTGTAAGAATTTATTGTTAAAAGGGCATCTCTCATTTCTTCTTTTTTTGAATTTACTGTCTTGAGCTGTGTTATATTAATTCAGTGGCTTACATGCATTTTATACAGAACCTCCGGGACCTATTGACAATACCGTTTTGCTGTACAAGGCTGCTGATGGAACTGATCGATTGAAACCACGTTCTAATTTCATGCGCATTGAGCGAGAACTTTACTTGTTTTTACGAACAATCTATGGAGGTGGTCCTGAGGTTTGTGAAATACTGTGCACCATTTCCTGATACTTTTTTAAATGTACATTTTACTCATATTTTTCTTTTGGGTTTTTCTCACTGATCAGCCTCAGTGGAGTGAAGCAGAACTTCGTGATGTGCTGAATTCCATAGAGGAGAAACTGTGGGCAGCGAATGCTAGGTTGAAAAAGCAGGTGACAAGCAATCTGTAGCTTTGATGGATTGTCTGCTTCTCCTATATCTATATATACATATATACATATATAAATCCTCATGATACATCTAACATTTACTTCATGTATAAGGGCCATTCACTACCTCAAATTTTTTGTTACTACCTTTTCTGCAGTGTTTTCGATCGAATTTATTACAAGTGGAGCTTACGCTAGTCAGTCATTAGACATAGGTTTATGACTTTGGTGGGTTTAAGCCATAAGCTGTTATGGTCACGTTGTTTTTTTGGTGTACGATGCAAAAACTTCGGGTTGCTTATGTTGTTTTGAAAATGTTCACACACCGTAACTATTTATTTCGAGGGTTGCTTGTCTGAAATTTCTGCTGAGGAATCTACTGGTTTTGCTTGCATACGAATGTCGTTATCATCATTGCGTAGCCAAAAGTTCATTGAACTGGTCACTCATAGCCGCACATCTCCTTCTTCAGTCTTACGTTTATGAGGGACTAACGGATATGGGCAGTG